ATCCAAGGTAAATAAAACTGTCATACCAGCTAAGAGTTAAAGTTAATTTGAACCGTGAATAATCTTAGGTATTTAGAGAACGGACCTCTGCCTGGGGCCAGGATGATAAAAAACTAAAGCAGTTGAAAAAGAACCCCAACAATTTGAATAATTTCGAATATTTTGATTCATTTCGGAAATTTAAATATTATTTAAGCAGTATGATCTTTCTCTCTGTCTGCAAATGAAAGAAAATTTTGGTCAGGCCTAAAAATAGTTCAGCACCAGGAGCCATAATCGGGGTATGATCGGCCAGAATCGGGCTACCACGATCATGGCTCCTGTCGGCATATTTTCCATAACATTGATGTTTTATTTATCAGCTCACCAATGACCCGGATGTGGCACACAGCTTGTTGTACATCTCTTCCTGGCGAAGTTGTAATTTTTGGAGGCTGTACTTCATCTGTATTAGACGATGACCCGGTAATGTCACTTAACTTTACTAGAAGTCGTGATCCCATACCCTATCTGTGGTGTCTAACACTTGAACTTTCCAACACGTCATGAATTATGTGGTGGACTTAAATTGTAGATCTAGCGTTAATGTCCATTCTATGATGTGACCATTAAAAAAAAAAACTTTCCTGAGAGTTTTGTCAGTACCGTTTCCTTTTTAGAATTTTACAAAACGAAGTTGGATATTTCTTTCTCGGACTAACGTTGGGGGCATAAAATCACTGTACCAGGTTGTCGCCTTCTGACAGCGGTGCATTCTCAACTCCACATTATATACTTACAGATTCTTTAGAGGAGTAATGTTATGTTTATTATGTTTCTGTTCTCTGTTTTTTTTTTTTATCAAAGTTTACTCTGTTACTGTCCTCCCCAGTTAATCCAGGCAATCTACTTCACTGAGTGGTACACTGGAAAGTTTTAACACTATGTGTTCTCTCTTCTTTAGAATCACACCGCCAGTATTCTGGTTTTTAGATTCGCGCCTCCGCACCTGAATTGGTAAGAAGATGCTTATGTAATATGAAAAAAAAAACCATGTGCTTTATTAAAAAGGATTTCAGAGGACGGTAATGAGTGTGATAGACAAGCAGTGTTGTATTTGTTGCTTTATGTAAGAGGGTTAAAGGTTAAAGCTTTGATTGGTTTCATGTTCTTGTTTCTATTGGCAGTTGTAGTTGCCAAAGGTCCACATAAGTGCAGAACAATGTTTTGTATTGTTGTGGCTGTCAGGTATTTGTTTAAGTCGGTAGAAAACGATCAGCTAAGAATATTTCCAGCAAGACGAAGAACGAGAGGGGAGGGGAGGGAATGGCGCTATCACCTGACAACGAGAAGACAACGAAAAGTCGTCCTCCTTTTCTCAGAGCCACATATGCAAGCAAAGTCGTCTGTTTAATTCGCGATCGCTCTACTATCTAAAGAGAAAAAGAAAATACTTGCGATCTACATCTTAGCTAAATGTTATAACGCAAAACGATTTTGTGCAAGGGTAAAGGAAGGGACAGAGAACTAATTATAAGAGGCAGGGGGTTTTACGATTATCAGACAGACTTAATTCCTGAATTTACTATTTCCCGCAGGTTGTGTGCTGATGCCATTGTCAACAAGTACTACTCCACAATATCCAAGCAACTCAAGTCACTTCCTAAAAATCTCCGGGCGTCACTATTCCTTCACAGAAGATTGAAAGCTCTTGGCAAGATATGACCATCTTTACTAGCTCTTCATCACAATCCGAGTCCCTTCAGTTTAGTAACTTGGGTCCCAGAGAGAAGGGTCTTTGGTTTATTTTTTAATGACAAGTTAACTTTGTGTCATGGTCAAAGCTGTGAAATTACCTAACTCCGTCTTTCTGAAATTGAGAAGCATTGAGTTTTACCTCAGTTAATGTTGGGACTCCACATTAACATTCTATGATGTTTCTTTTTTTACATGTAAGTATTGTGTAAGAGTAAAATACATGTTAATGCCTTACAAATTTATCACTGTCGAAATTGTAAATAATTGTTAGTTACGTAAGATAGTAAATGAAAGGTATGGAATTGTACATATAAACAGAAAAGTAATTAAAACTATAAATATTTCCACATTGTATGTTGTCATATATGTGTGTAAGTGTGTTGTATAAGTGTTTGAGAGCTGATGCCCATTTTGGTCTATTACTACAGTAAAAACCCGCATACAAGAACATGTGGATTAAGAACACCCAGGCTGAAATTTGGTAAAAAAGGAGCATATATCTAAGAACACATTCAGCCTGAAAATTGAAAATTGTTCTTATATATAAAAACTCTTCCCTTTTCAGTTTAATAGAACAGTGTCTGTAACTTTACTGTGGTATTGCACTAAGATCTCGGTATAAATGCTAGTAATTTCACTTGCTGTGTATGGCAAATGTACAACAAAAAAAATAAAATACCCGATATATAAGAACC